AAATGAAGATAACACTGCATATATCCTTTTTTACCTTTAATGTATGTATGTATGTATGTATGTATCTGTGTTTGTGTGTGTGTATATAAAATAAAGGTAAACAAGGATATATGCAGTGTTATCTTCATTTTAGATGTCAAAACGGTCTCTCTCTGTCTCTCTCTTTCCTCTCTTTCCTTTCTCTTTCCTCTCTCCCCTCCCTCTTTCCCCTCTCTCTCTCTTTCCTCTCCCTCTCTCTCTCTTTCCTCTCTTTTTTCTCTTTCCTCTCCCTCTCTCTCTCTTTCCTCTTTTTTCTTTCCTCTCTTTCTTTCTCTTTCCTCTCTCTCTTACTCTCTCTCTCTTTCTCTGTTTCCTCTCTCTTTCTCTTTCTCTCTCTTTCCTCTCTCTTTCTCTTTCTCTCTCTCTTTTCCTCTGTTTCTCTCTTTTTCCTCTCTCTCTTTCTCTCTCTCTCTTACGGCTGCATCGTCGGGGGTCCCTGCCGCCCCCGGCTTGGCCGCCGCCGCCGCCGGGACTCCGCGCTGCCCAGCCTTGCCCTCCACCCATCGATGGAGCTGCGGTGGGGACAGTGCCTGCCCGAGCTGCCTGGGGGGCAGCAGGAGGAAGAAGGAGAAGAGGAGGGTGAGGAAGCAGCTGCTCCATACGGGACTCTGCGCTGCCTGGCCTCGCCCTCTGCCCATTGATGGAGCTGCTGTGGGGGCTGGTGCCACACGGCCCCTGCCAGCCCCTCTGCCAGCCTGGCTGCTCCCCCCCCAGGCACCCCTCTTGTCCCGGCGCACACCCGAGCTGCCCGGGGGGCACCAGGAGGAAGAAGGAGAGGAGGAGGGCGAGGAAACCGCCATCGCCGCCCCAGCCGGAACTCCACGCTGCCTGGCCTCACCCTCCACCCATCCAATGGAGCCGCGGTGGGGGCTGGTGCCGCGGAACCCCTGCCAGCTCCTCCGCCAGCCTGGCTGCTCCCCCCAGCCACCCCTCTTGTCCCGGCGCCCACCCGAGCCGCCTGGGGGGCAGCAGGAGGAAGAAGGGGAGGAGGAAGAGGAGGGCAAGGAGATAGAGGAGCGGTGTCTCGGTTCCTAAGACCATCGGAAATATGTGTTTTACGATGGTCTTAGGTGACCCCTGTGAAAAGGTTGTTCGACCCCCAAAGGGGTCCCGACCCACAGGTTGAGAACCACTGCTTTACATAGTTTTCCACATCCCGTTTCAGCCCCGGCCACCAAAATTGCCGGCGGGTGAGATGTAGAGTTTTTAGATATCCAAAATGTCCAGCCTGTTTTACATTGCGGCTGTGTTTGAGAGCATTAAGACGGAGGGCTTCAGGCAAATACAGCTTCCCCCCCCCCCTTGTAAGCCAAACCATCCCTGCATGTCAGGGAGGTTTGATTATCTTTGAACCATTGATCAGTGAGGAGCTCTCGTTTTATTTTCTTTGCCCCAGGGTCATCAGGATTTGGGACCCTGCGAGGCGTGAGCTGAGTGGCAGTTTGTGGATTGGAGATAATTGCTTCATTAACCTCTTCACGTTCGCTTTTGTATTGGGGCAATCTCGATAGCGCATCAGCTAGGAAGTTTTTTCTTCCTGGTATGTACTTTAGAGTGAAGTTGAAATGGTTAAAGTACTGTGCCCACCATACTTGCTTTGGGGACAATTTGCGGGGAGTTTTCAGTGCCTCTAGGTTTTTATGATCTGTCCATACTTCAAATGGCACCTTGCTCCCTTCTAGATAGTGTCGCTAGTTTAACAGTCCCCACCTAATAGCGAAGGCCTCCTTATCCCAGACTGCCCATCTCCTCTTGCTTTCAGTAAATCTTTTAGAAGTGTAGGCACAGGGTTGTAGAACTCCACTTTTGTTCTTCTGCAGTAATACAGCTCCCACTGCCACGTCGCTGGCGTCAGCTTGGATTACAAAGGGTTCCCCTGGGTAGGGGTGCTTTAGTACTGGTTCAGCAGCAAATAGTCTTTTTAAATTCTCAAAAGCTGTTTGACAGCTCATAGTCCACGTAAGTGGCTGGCCCAGTCGTGGTTTTCCTCCTCCTTTGCCTGTTTTGAGTAGTTCTGTAAGGGGTAGGGCAATTTCGGCAAAGGAGGGGATGAATTGACGATAGAAGTTGGCAAACCCTAAAAAACTCTGAAGCTGTTTGTGAGTCTTTGGGGGCTGCCACTCAATTATAGTTTTCACTTTGGCTGGATCCATTTCAATACCCTCATTGGAAATTCTGTAGCCAAGATAATCTAATCGGGTCTGGTGAAATTCACATTTTGACAATTTGGCATAAAGCTTGGCATTCAATAATTTCTTTAACACTTCTCTTACCAGTTTTATGTGATCAGTCATATTTGTGCTGTATATCAGGATGTCATCAAGATACACCAGAACTCCTTTGTACAAGTGATCATGTAGGACCTCATTAATCAATTGCATGAATACGGCTGGGGCCCCCTGTAGTCCAAATGGCATGACTTTGAATTGGTAGCTCCCCATAGGACAGTTGAAGGCAGTTTTCCACTCGTCCCCCTCTTTTATTCTCACCTGGTAATATGCCTCTCTCAGGTCTAATTTAGTGAAAACACTCCCCTTAGCCAGATGGGTTAATAAGTATTTGAGAAGGGGGAGGGGGTATTTGTTTTCCACACTCACAGCGTTGAGACCCTTATAGTCTATGCAGAGACGAAGAGACCCATCTTTTTTTTCTTTGAACAACACAGGGGCTCCCATGGTAGATTTGGCCCATTCACGTATCACTGCATCTCCTCCATTTCGAGGGGGGACATAGCATACATTCTCAGTCGTGGGAGTTTGGCTCCTGGCACCAGTTCGATAGAGCAGTCATTGGGTCTGTGAGGCGGCAGGGCATCGCATTCTTTTTCACTAAATGCCTCCGTTAGGTCCCGGTATTCGTTGGGGATGAGTGGTTTGTCTGGTGGCGGTGAGGCAGCCAAGTGCGCTTGTTCATTGGGTGGCCTAAAGTGTCCCGCAACGTCAGTTGAATCAGTGGGAGGCTCAGGCCCTATAGGTAGTCTCACAGTTCTCATTCCTTTCTCCCACCAGATAAATGGCTTCCATTTGTCCAACCAGGCTAATCCTAGGATCACAGCCTCAGTCCTTTTTGGGGCCACCAGGAAGCGAATAAACTCCCAGTGCTCACCTATTTCTAGGCGTAAGGGCTCAGTTAATTGTGTGGCTAAAGTCCCTCCCATCAGGGAGCCATCAGCTTGCTCGAACCTCACAGGTTTGGAGAGCTGTTTTGCCCGTATGCCCATTTTCATGGCAAAGGGTAGGCTAATAATACATCGGGTGCATCCCGAATCAATTAGCACGTTTAAGTCCATTTGTGCCCCCGACTTAGGGATTATAAGCTTGGCGGCCAGTGGAAAAGGTGGGATTTATCGACTCACCATTGGGTCGTTCTCTCCTTCGTCATCGCTGTCAAAGGAGGGTAGAGCAGGGGAGGGTCCACCCGGAGTCCCGGCGTCCTCTTGTGTGGGGGGTATAATCTGGACAACAGGTTCTTGCGTGACCCGGTTGGATTTTTCTCTCGTTAGCCCTTGGGCAGGTTTCCTTCTTGCTGCTGGTTCCGGTCTGCTCTGCAGTCGGGGGTAGGGGACCGGACAGTTTGCTGCTCGATGTCCCTTCTGTCCGCACCAGAAACACTTAATTGACGGGCCTGCAGGTGGCCTGGGTCTTTCAGCCATCGCAGTAGTCGGAGGGTTTCGTGGGGGTGATTGTTGCTTGGGTTGCTCTGGCTGCTGCTCGGATTCAGGTGGGGGAGGCTTCTTATAGCGGGCAAGCTGAACGTCTAGCTTCACCACTGCCTGGTACCATTCTCGCAGCTGATGAGGTACTGCTAGATAGAAACAGGCCTAAGAGAGGTGATCGTCTAATCTCTCAATGAAGTGCTAGGGAAAAGAAGGACTAGAAATTCCTACCCAGCAACTGCACCTGACGTCTTTGTTAACACCCACATTTATGCCTAACAGCATTAAAGGGACTGAGAAGCACCTGGTCCTATGCCACGGAGAAAGAAAATTTATACGCACAGATACACTCACAAACACTCGAGTGCAGCTTTTTGGCCAGGCTTTCACCTGGTCTAGTCATTCCTTCCCCTGAAACCGGAAAGTTGGAATTTAATCATTTCAAGTTGTCACGTGTAGATGTTGGGTAGCCCAGGTTCAGGGGGCAAGATTGGAACTGGAATGGAGAGCAAATCCACAGCTGAAAAGCAGGGAAGTCTTCCTCATCCTCTTGGCCCCAGTCTTCTTATCAAGCAGATTGAGGAAGTCAGCCTTAGAGAATTGACTTTAATACTATAAAAGCACAGTCCATTGTCAAATTATCTTTTTTTTAAAAAAAAAATTACCTTCCCAAAGAGAAAAAAACGGTGGGATTTCCTCCCTTAGCACTATAAAAATCTTGGGATTCAAAAAACGCACTAAGACAACATGCTGAACCACAAAGCACTACTCAGCGTAGAACTGCCTAGCCCAGGGGTCATGCAAACTCAACCAATCGTGTGCAGTTGCTAGTGCTCAACATAAATGTCCCAATCCCTGAGCGTTTGTACACTTAAAGCACCCCATTGTCACAGGCAAAAATCTTGAGTCTTCTTTTGGGCAAAAGGCTGGCAAACCCAAGTAAAAACCATGCAGATTTCAGAAAGGGATCTTTCATGCTAGTAGGGAGGAAAATGTAACCTTGAAAACTGTGCATTTCCATTTGGCCCTGCAGGGAGTTAATTAAATGGAACCATTTCCTTTCCAGAGCTTTCACATCTAAACCAGGTGACCCAGTGGTGGGATTCAAATATGTGAACAACCGGTTCTCTGTGTGGATGCTGCTTCCGGAGGTCCATTCTGGGCCTGGGCAACAAAAAATTAGCTACCGGTTCTGCCGAACTGGTGCAAACCGGCTGAATCCCACCACTGAGGTGACGTCTTCTCACCTAAACTGCACCCTTCCCAGTTTCTCACGCTGCTCTGCTCCATTTCTCACTTTCTACAGGAGTTTGTCATCCACGTGATGACACGTCACCGCCACATCTTTGGACGCCCCGAACGTCGCCCAGCTCCAGACCAATCGAGCTTTGTGGACACCTTCCTGAATGCCCCCGACATCTTGCCGCAGCACTGCTGTGTGGTATCCTCGGTGCCCCCTGCTGATCCCAGCCAGCCCCGGAGTTCAGCCATGGTGCGGCCTTTCCGGGGAGCCTCTATCACCCACAATGGCGCCCCGCTCCATCGCCAGGTGGAGTTGGCTCCTGGAGACTTGCTTGGCATGGGGCAGTACTTCCTCTTCATGTACAAAGATCCACGAGCTGCCACTGCTCCTCCGGCTTGGCTGCCCAAAGCCTGGATGTCTCCAGGGCTGGTGGGGGCCTTGGCTTGCCAGGCCTGTGGCCGGTCCCTGCAGGAGCGGCAGGAGGCATTCCGGGCCTATCTCAAGAGCCGAGAACCTCAGCTCCGCTACCGCCCCCAGGAACAGGAAGCGCTTTTGGCTGAAATTGTGCGGCTGCAGGAAACATCCACTTGCAGGCTGGGACCCGCCTTCCTCTTTGGGCTCTGCCTGGAGCACGCTGCTCGGGAGCTGGAGCCAGGGCATCTGCCCAGGTTGATAGCCAGGATCGCTCAGCTGGTGAAGGAAGCTGTTTGGGTAAAGGATTTTCTACTTCTTTGCTTGGGTCCTATCATGCCCCATATCAGGGGTCTTCAAACTTGGCCCTTTTATGACTTGTGGACTTCAACTCCCAGAATTCCTCAGCCAGGCACACGTGCCTAGCTGAGGAATTCTGGGAGTTGAAGTCCACAAGTCATAAAAGGGCCAAGTTTGAAGACCCCTGCCCTATATCCTTGATGAAAAAGGATAGTCCTTTATTTCGGAAAGCTGTCCTTTAGATTTATTTAATTACAGCTGGTCCTCAACTTATGACCAGTCGCTTAGCGACCATTGGAAGTTATGACCAACCAAGAAAAAGAGGACTTATGACCTTGATTCAAAGTTACCACATTTGGGTCACCTCTGTGGTCACATAGTCTTTGGGCACCTGGAAACACAGCTGTATTTACAGCCATTTGCAGCATCCCACCAGCATGTGACCACATTTTACAATGGTTTTGCCAAAAATGGTCATTTATGGTTCTTGCACCCATACTGACCCCTTGGTTTGCTTAACGACTGCAGTATTTGTTTAATGACTGCTGATTCGCTTAATGACCGTCGTGATTCACTTCAAAACCATGGCAAAAAAACGTGTTAAACCATCATTATGGTCCTAACATGAGGGCTTTCTCTCAGAGCAAATCCCACTCCCTACTAGCACTGATGACGTTACCTAATGCGGTAATGAAACATCTGCAAGAAAACAGCCAAGCTCAGAGAGCGCCAAGGACTCCTCATTTCAACCCTGAGCTGCAAATAGTCTCCTCAGAAGTACAAGCCCCCCCTTTTCTTTTCTCTATTCTGAATCTCATTAATTCAAATCCACATAGTCTGTGTCATGTTATATCCATTGTTATATGGCTATGACATTCTGTCATGGAATGGAAGACAGCATGACTAGTTTCCTTAAAAAAAGGAAATACAAGAAAGGAGTACTGTAAGAAAACTGGTTTTTAATGATTAATTGCAAGATGCTGTTCTTCTGGCTCCACACAAAAAGTAAAAATGAATCCATGTTCTTCTTCCTTTCTTGCTTTCTACTATTTTCTAAAAATAATCAGAAGAGAAACAGAATCGTATGAATGTAAAATAAAATCTTTACATCCATAGCTGAGTCGAATTATACAGGTTTAGAACCTATAGGGAAAAACTCCATGTCTGACCTCCATATTTGATCTCTTTAAATGAAGTAAGTATAACAAATACTTTCCCCCCCATCGATCCTCCAGTAACTGTAGAAGTCTTTCTGACTATCAGGTATGGAAAGGGTTTGAGACCAAGAATGTGGTCCTCCCTAAATAATTTCATTTTCTCCATATTCTTCTTCCTAGGGCAAGATCAAAGAAATCAGAGATCGACAACCAGAAAAGTAAGTAAATTAATAATCTCTAGAAGACTATGTTTTCCAAGGCAAGTCATAATATTAGGCTTGGTCAGTACTGTAGTTTGTTTTAAGCTACAGATGTTGAGTGATTTGGGAGGTACAACAGAGAAGCCTCTAGTCATTTCCTTTTATTGGGGAGCTGAGCTTTGGGTTCCTGGCATCTTAAATTTGTTTGTGCCCCTTGAGAGCAATGAAAAATGCTGCTTTATCATTCCTGGAGAGTAAGGTTCATCTGCTCATCCAGTCAAGGTCTATTTGTGGAATATTAGGAAGATCTTACTCTTGGTTTGAGATGGCCAAAGTGGCTTGGGCATCACTCCAAGCTATTGGGAAATGTTCTCATTTCAAAATAATGACCTTAAACACTTCAACAAGTTTGTGCCTGAAGATATTTCTATGGCCCAAGAGCATAATAATCACTTTCAGTTCAGTAATGTTAGCCTTCCCTCCAGATTTATTGAAATAATATCTCTCAGAATTCCTAGCTTTGTGGAGGATACAGGATAACAGAAGCTGATTTAGCTGATGTGTTGATCCAGACCAGGGGTAGGGAACCTTGGCTCTTTTATGACTTGTGGACTTCAATACCCAGAATTCCCAAGTCAGCATGGCTGGTTCAGGAATTCTGGGTATTGAAGTCCACAAGTCATAAAAGAGCCAAGGTTCCCTACCCCTGATCTAGACCAATGGTCCTCAACCTTCATAATTTTAAGATGTGTGGACTTAAACTGTGTGACTGGTTGGGAAATTCTGGGAGTTGAAGTCCACACATCTTAAAGTTGCCAAGGTTGAGGAACACTGATCTAGACATTTTTCTACCTCTGTTGAAGTGACAGACTTTCTAAACTTGAGCAAGCTCGGCAATCGAGTTCAGTTTGCTTGCTCAGCCTTCTGGGATGCTGGGATGCAGTTTATCCTTCTCCATCTTCAGACATCTAGATAGGCGGAGGTAACTCCTACCAGTTCCAGCCAGCACTGACATTTTGGCACGTTGACTGGAGATTATGAGAACTGACCTTTAAGTTGGAGGAGGTCAATAATAAATACTTTTCTTTGTTTAAAAAAAATACAAGTTGGGTTAACAGTAAATGCAGAAATGTTGAGATAAACAACAAATTGTTTTCCAGGTCAACAGGACACCTTTGTATGGTTTCGTTTTTCCCATTTGTGAATAATTTAGTTTACAATCATCAAGAAAGGCTGAACTTGGCGTGAACTCTGAAAATGTGTAGAATGGCTTAAATGCAAAATATCCAGTCCAGTTGTTGTTTTAATATCCCTGCCAAAAATCAGCTGCCTCTTGCTGGCAGGTGAGAACTTTTTCAACCTCCCCCACCCCTTGACGCTAATCTCTGTCACTCTGGTGTTCCTTGCAGCCAGCAAGACAAAGGAGAAGCAGGAAACCTCAGCATTGAGGAAGTGGCAGCTGACCTGCGCCCCCTCATGCTGTGGATGGCTAATTTGATGGAGCTACTCAACTTAGTGCAAAAAAGAGTCCTAGACATTGAGAAAGATCTGGATTTGGAAGGTGAGCCAAGAATCTTCTTTTTTCTAGTAGTCAAGGAGATTGAAGGACAGGCCAACTGTTTTTTCAAAGACTCATCCCAGAACAGAGGGGTCAAGGAAATAGGACTTCCTGATTTCTCCAAGACAAATATTATTGACTCAAAGATAATTGCGAGGTCACAGAATGGGGGCTGAGTACTACTGGTTTCTCTAGAAAAGGCTCTCAACAAAGGGAATCATAGCTTCTGCATACGTAGCCCAGAACTTTAAGGACATTCTACCAAACTGATACAGCTTGATATCAGTTGAATACGCATAGCTTTTCCCAAAGTATCTATTACACCTTGCAGTGCAATTTGAAAATGTTCCATACATTCCTAGTTTCCATTGCAGAACAACTCTCGGTAGAGCTATTGCCTCTCTGTAATATTACGCAATGTTCTCAAACCCACTGCAGGAGTTTCACACAATGCATTGCTCTCCAGTGACCTGGAGACCTGTGATGAAGCCATGGCTGTCTTAGATGAAGTCATCATGTCCACATTCCAGCAATGTGTGTACTACCTCACTAAGGTGAGCAAACACTCTGCAAGGATCAAGCCTGACCTTCTGACCCTTCCCTTTTTCTAGTAGTCTCAGTGTCTAATTCTTTCCTCATCCGGCAGACTCTATACTCAGCCCTTCCTGTCTTGCTAGACAGTAACCCCTTCACAGCCACCACTGACCTGTCGCATGTGCCTGAGCTGAGCAGCATGCCGGAGGGAATCCGAGGGACCCTGGCCATCTACCAGGCAACACTTGAACTCACCCGTGACTGTGACTTGCACCCTGACCTTGTTTCACAGACCTTTGGATACCTCTTCTTCTTCTCCAATGCTTCGCTCTTCAACACCATCATGGAAAGAGGTGGGCCAGGAACAATATGCAGACATTTTCCCGGGGAAGGGGGGAAGGGGACACCAATTCGAAAGAATTGAAGGTGGATAAGCAGAAAAAAAAATACTTCAGTATTTTGTGGAAGAAAACTAGATAGATTCACTTCCATAACATAGGGCTACGCGGCACTTCGCATCTGAAGACAAACAGGTGCACCTGTCTGCATTTCCCTCCTAAAAAAACCTGGGGTTTTGCACTGCGTAAGAGGAAGGACTCTGCCTCAAGTAAATTGCAATTTAACTTTCTGCATGGGAGAGAGAAAGCAGCAAAGATAGAGGAAGAAGATTGGTTTATTCGTAGACAAGCTTTGGATGTTGAGCATAGAAGCCAAAACTATCCTAAGGCTTCATGTAAAAAGGGCAATTTTTGAACACTAAACAGGTCGCATTTTTTGTGCTTGTGAACAGTTTAAGACATACAGGGTAGCAAAGGATGATACAACTGGAAATATCAGGAAATTTTTGATGGCTGAAAATGGTGGAGCAAGAGGAAGAAAAGGATGACCAAAACAAGAGGTTTTTTTGTTAGGAGAGGGAATTTACAGAAAGTGTTCTTCTGGCTTTTGTGCATTGGAAGGAAAGGAATCAAGTAAGAGTGTAAGAAACTAGAAACTTGTAAGAATTAGGAGCCTGAGGGTTCTGTGAAGGAAATAGACCATTATGAACTAACCAGATGGGCTGTGTCTGCCGGTCATGCTAAGCCTCCTAAGGCCCCAAATTTGCATTAGTCAGTCTCACCATGTTCTGCAACTACCAGGCCTTCAACTGAACTGTTAAGTACAGCATGTCAAATGATTTCAGGAATTTATAATTGCTTTTGAGGTGCTTTTTTAAAAAATTGCTAATGTAGAGGAGAGGAGAGAAAGAAAGAAAGAAAGAAAGAAAGAAAGGAAGGAAGGAAGGAAGGAAGGAAGGAAGGAAGGAAGGAAGGAAGGAAGGAAGGAAGGAAAGAAAGAAAGAAAGAAAGAAAGAAAAAGAATTTGGATTTTGAGTGAATATTTTAGGCAGTGAAGGATTTTTGCTTGTATTAACGAGACCAAATGAAGCAAGAACCCCTTTCTGTCTTCAGGGAGATGTGAGAAAGCCAGAACTCTTCCACTTCTGTTTTTTGCTCCTGAGCAGTGAAAAGAAATAATCCCATTCCGCCTCTCCCTGCTACCCAGCCTCCACCACCCCAGCAGCTGTTGTTTCCTCCTATTTTTTCTTCTGGTCTCTGGTGGAAGCTGGCTATTTCCTGCCTGTCCCAAAGTTCAGGGCTGCCCTCGGACGCAGCAGGAAATAAGCCTGGCTTCCAGGGGCGGCTCCCTCCTCCAGACGTGGTGGGGGTGGAGAATGCTGGGGCTAAGCTACTTGGCAGGAAAGCCAGGGGTGTCAGCCAGGCTTACCACCTCTTCCTCCTTGCCTCCCACCCCCCACCCATTTCCAGGTGGCTCCCAGTCTCTCTTCCAGTGGGCCAAGGCGGTGCAGATCCGAACCAACCTGGACCTCGTCCTGGACTGGCTGCAAGGAGTTGGCCTGGGGGACATCGCCACAGAATTCTTCCGCAAGCTCAGCAACACAGCCAACCTGTTGTGCATGCCCAAAAGCAGCTTGCTTCAGGTGAAGGAGCCGGTTCACATCCCCCCTCCTCTCCCCAAATGGGCTTGAGGGGCAGCAGCTCACCTCCAGGTCTTTGTTCACATTCAGGGCCAGCTCTGATGTGGGGCCGGATCACTACATGTGGTTCCCGGCTTATCACCATTTAGTGACCATTCAAAGTCACAACGATGCTGAAAAAAGTGATTTACAACTGATCCTCACACTTACGACCTTCATAGCGTTCCCCCCACATGATTAATATTTGGGTGCTTGGCAACTGGCATGTATTTATGACAGTTGAAGCATTCCAGGGTCATGTGATGGACATTTGTCTTTCCCAGCCTGCTTCTGACAAGCAAATTCAGTGTGGGAAGCCAGATTTGCTTAACAACTATATGATTCATTTAACAACTGCAGCAAAAAAGGTCATAAAAGTGGACCTAACTCACTTAACAGTCATCCCACTTAGCACCAGAAGACTTATGATCAAACTGGGGTCATAAGTCAACCATCTGTAGGACTACTTACTATCAGGTCCTGATAGTCTTTTATGTAAGATCCGATGCCTCTAAAGAAAATATGCCAGAGAATATTAAATTACAAGTGTTTTTGCCCCATGTTATATGCAAATACAGCAGCCAAGGACTTAACCAACACAGCAGTGTTTTTCTGCAGTTCTACCCAAGTCCGTCCTGAGAATCTCCATTTTCTTCAATACGTATTTCTACATATTGAAGACAAATCCAAAAAACTGTCACAGTAGTAACAACTTCAGAGGTGTGTGGGTTTGTTCTCTCCCTGAGTCTAGCAGGACAGAGTGTCCTGATTAATAACTAGTAAATACTAAAATAGGTGTCACTTATTTTTCTGAACCCATTCTTTAGTAACACTATCCCTCTGTGTGTAGAGTTTACACTAGGAGACCAAATAAATCGATCACTTTGTTTTTAATGTCATGTAATCAGTAACTTCAGTTGGTTACAACCTTTTTGGTCAACATCTGTGTTTTAAAAAATAGTGCTCCTACAATATTTAGTATCAATGATAAAGGAAATGGGCCTTCCCCCCCAGCTGTTTTTGTTCATAAACAAATTCAATCTATGGATCAATAACATCGAACTATTGACCAGCTATTTCTTTAAAAAATGTGGACGGGGGGGATAATTCTGCCTTCTTCCTCTGAAACAATGCTGTATTAGGGGTGTTGGATACAACTAAACATTCTACTGAGAACAAGTCAGATTTAGAGGACTGCCATAAGAGCCATTGACATTTTTTAAAATATGTTGTGTTCTATCGATATACAGGCATCCTGGTCCTGCCTAAGAAATGATTATCCAGCGCTAACACCAGCCCAGCTCCAACATGTGCTCAGAAATTACCAACTGGGGCCAGGCCGTGCATCTCCTGAATGCTGGAACCCACCTGACAAGGAGCGAGACGAGATGGCACAAAGTACATGAGCATTTTAGTGTCAAGTCTATAAGTTGTTTGCCAATTTTTGGAGACTTAACAGGGGTTTCTCTGGCCTTTATCACCATATGTTCTTAACCAGGACAAGATCACACCCCAATGAGATCAATTTTCCCCCTTGATCTCATGGCATTTCCTTATTCTTACCCCCAGTCCATAAGTAAAGCAGCTGAAATTACCATTAGGTTGCCAGTATAATAATATTTTCTTCCTTAAGCCCCTGCTACCTCCCCACAGCCTCAAAGTCTATAAAATCTGTCATCCATTCTCTTAGAGGTGGCCGATTCTAAATAGGATCAAAGGTGTGTTTTGGGAGCGCTGGGAGGTGGGGGCACACATTGATTCCTCTCCCAGCCTTTACCTTCTTCATTAGTGCTTTGTTTTCTGAGCTCCTTTCAGTCCTGCCACATCTCTCTTTCCCTGCTTTTGACATCATCATCATTTCTTCAAGCTTCTACCAAGGCAGAGGAGAGCAGAGTGGAGCTTCAGTATTTTATCTTGGGAAGAAGACAGTCTATTTTTCATTATTCATCTAGAACAGTACACTGAAATGTATCTTTTCGTTCAGATGTGGCACCCCCATTATTTTCCTGCTGTAACTGGAAAATATGGAGAGAACCTGAGCTGACTATTGCCCAGCTTTCAAATATTTGTCTGTTTTAAGCATTTCCCAGCCCTTGTAGCTGAAGGAGGAAACCTGCTTGCTCAGCAATGTAGTAATTTCAGATCCCCTTTGTAAAACTTAGCTAGTTATACTAACAAGGCCTGGCCTGCCTCCCTTCTCTCCAGGACTATTTCTGCCCCGTGTATATCTTAATTTATTATTAAATTTATATGCCTCCCATCTCACTATCCAATGCAACTGGACGGCTTACAATGCAGTAAAAAAATAAATATAAAAACAATTTTTGCGACCCTGTAATCCCTTGATTCAGGGTGGAGTCGGGGTGTCTGAATGGAGCTGAGTGTTTACTGGCCGGATGCCCTTCCTGACGCCTATGCAGCGTTCTCAACAGGTGTTTTCTCTTTACACCCTGATAGAGAAACATCTGTCACTGCCTAGGATTGAACTTTCAACCTTCCAAGTGAAAGGCGAGCATCTTCACCTCTAGGCCGCTGCATATAAAAAAATATGTTTTTATATAAATATAAAAACAATTGCAAATATAAAAAAAATTAAAATTCCAAGAGTAACATTTCCATGTGTCACATTATTTATCTTGGAGATGCTCAGCTAGGGTGTTAGGAAAGAGGTAAACCAACCAAGCTAGGGTGGCTAAAGCCAGGCCCACGCTCTTCTTTGATGGTAGATGTTTTCTCTGCTGGTTGAAAGAAGCCATCAGCAAACCTGGAGGGGGGAAAAAACCCTTTCGTATGAGAAGCACTCTCTCTAATGAGGACAGCACCATTCATCAATGACTAGGAACAGGACAGGAACTGGCAATGGGGCTAACAAACGTTATGCTGGCTCGAATTCAATCTGACCCAGGATGACTGGGTAGCCGGTGCCAGCTAGCAATTCATCAGGTGAAGCTTTTCTTCTGCATCCATATGTCTCTTTTCATTCAGTTCTAATCTGTATCTCTTCTTTCTCTTCCTCTGGCATTCTTTCACCCCCAAAATACATAAACTGGGATGTGGATATTAAAATCAACCCAGGACAGAGACATGAAAAATGTGAAGAAAAGAAACAGGATAATTCCATTGCCTCCAGTGCGAAATCAACCCTCTCAAATTATCACCTCGTCAACACCAATTCAGTCATGGTGCTTCAGTTGGTTTTGGTACAGCAGATCATGACAAAACCTATAACGCTGGTGTTGGATTTAATGTTTTTCCTCTTCCTTTCTAATCTCCTATGTCTTATGTGTAAAACTGGGGTCGAGTGTACAAAATCAAGTCGAGTGTACAAATTCTCCTGCTAATAATATTTGAAAGATGTTTTGGGGTACTTTTGGGCTAAAGAGTGAGATAATAGTCATGATTTAATGGTTCTCCTCTAGGGAAACCTGACCGTCCACCTGAGGTGTGGTGGTTCAGTGGCTTAATGATGCTGGAAATGGTCTTTGCTCCAGCGGTTCGAGTCCTAGCACTGTGTGGCAGGTGAGCTCCTGTCACTCGCCTCACCTTCTGCCCACCTAGCAGGTCGAAAGCATCTTATATGCGAGTAGATAAAGAGGCACCACTTGGTGGGAAGACGAGCTGGCTCTTTGTGCAGATGGTAAGAACCCTGCTGGTGCTAAACCTTCCCGGTTGTGATACCGCTTTGCAAGCTGGCTTTGGTGGAGACAGCTCTGAATGATGCTCCAGGAAAGCTGCTGGTCTTTCTTCTCATGCACAATAGCTCGCCCCCTCAGGCACATTTTGGAAAGTGCACAAGCATGAACCGAACAGGGCTAGCAGTCTTAGGCAGCCAAACTACTATTCTACACTACTCTCCTGGCTAATGTAACATCGCCATATGCTAAATAGATAACCATCAACTGGTCTCTTTTCATAATCTTTATTTCCCCAGGTGATATATTTGAGAGTTTCACCGACCATCCACCCCTTATTCTTCCATGTGATGGCTTCCACTTGCATCTGTCAGAGCCCGTGCTAGATGACACTCTGCATCGCCAACTGGTGCGCTTGCGCCGTTTTCTTTGGGAGCTGGAGCGTGAATCTCTCCCAGCCAATCAAAGAGCAGTATATGGGCTGGATCCCAGCCAATGAAAAGAGGCACCAATGCCAACATTCAAGATGGTGCCTTGACCTCGAGAAGCTCTTTTCACAACAGACTCTGTTGGGTCAGGCTGGATATTAGAAAACCTCGATCCAATTCTGGGAAATGCAGAATCACCTGAAATAGCTCTTATTTCTTTGCAAGCAGAATGGTCTGGGAAGATCAGCGGTTGCCCTGGTATCCGAGGTCAGAAAGAATAAATTCTTTGGCTTCTGTTCCAACTTTGCAGCCATGCCATCGGGTGGCAGGTGCTGACTTCAAGAAACAATCTGGATATGTCTTTGAAAGAGGACCCACCTCAACACTGGGTTATTATTTTTCGCCTCAGGTAATACAGTTTGTAGCAAACTATGTATTCTTCTTTTTTTCTTTGCAATAAAATGATTATCTGAAACGAATAAATCAAGTATTTTAGGATGGCATGTAGCAACCATGTTATCCAGAAGGCAGAAGTGTAGGAAGCAGGATAACTAGAAAAAGTGTATTCTGGCTACTTCAGACTCTCTAGGGCAGTGTTTCTCAACCTCGGCAACTTTAAGATGTGTGGACTTTAACTCCCAGAATTCCCCAGCCAGCTGAGAGTTAAAGTCCACACGTCTTAAAGTTGCCAAGGTTGAGAAACACTGCCCCAAAGTATGTTGACTTGGGTCTGATGAGGCTGTCTGTACTTAGTGTGAGACATTTTGTAAAATGTAAAACATTTAATGTAAAAATTCAGTGTGCTGTTCTTCGATTTCTTTGGTAGAGGTTTGCTATCGCTGGGACGTGCCTCTTTTCCATTGTCCCAGACCACAAGTGTGCTATCTTTGTCAATAGCCTCAGTTTCACGGCTGTGCCTGGAATTAATCTCTGAAATCCGAGCCTGGGGAAGACCTATGAGCTCATGCCCCTCCCCTCTCTGGATGTCAAACGAAGCTCCCGGCAAACCAATCGTACCAAGGGCTGGTTCAGAGTAGCCCTTGGTACGAATGCTTTGCACCAAGGATATTGCAGCCAAGGCAGGTAATCCAGAACTGTTCACCACAGACGTTATTTATTTTATTATTTTACTTATTTATTTATATCCCGCCTTTACTATTTTAACAAATAACCCGAGATGGTGAACATATCCAACACACCTCCTCCTATTTTCCCAACAACAACAACAACAACCCTGTGAGGTGAGTTGGGCTGAGAGAGAGTGACTGGCCCAAGGTCACCCAGCTGGCTTTCATGCCTATGGCGGGACTAGAACTCATGATTATAGAGAGGGAGATCCAGGTGAAAGAAAAGACCTGGGCCAATTGACCGCAAGTAAATCAGGAGTTTTAGCTCCAGATCATGAAGCTCTGAATTCTAATCAAGCAAAGCCACGGGTCTGGCTGCCCAGTTTTGGGGAGAGGGACCATGCCAGGTAACACAGCTCACACAAAGACAAAGATCATGCATGTTGGAGGGCAGGGGGAAAAACGTACACACATTAGCATGCGTGTATCAACCAACCATCTTCCACTCTGAAAGGCAGGTAGTCCTCGACTTACAACCGAAAAGTCGTGACGATTATAAAGCGGGTCACCCACTTGACCAACCTGATTTTTGCAGTGGTTGTTGAGTGAACATCACAGTTATTAAGCAGACACATTGTTCACTAGGGGCCGGTTTTGCCGAAAAGTGGAAGTAAATGTTGATTTTCTGCAAAACCATCCTAAAACACTCACACAATTGCAGCAGACTGCAAATGGCCATAAATGAGGGTGGTTTGCTGAGTGCCTGAAATGTAGAAACATGACTGTGGGGAGAGGACAACCGTGGAAACTTTGGAACCAGGTCGTAAGTACCCCCCGGAGAGTCTGTCGTAACTTCTAATGGTTGCTAAGCACCTGGTCCTAAGTCGAGGGCTGGAGTGTGTGAATCTCAAGAGGAAAAACAGATTTGTATATGGGCATACCTTTCACCCTTGTCTATATTTTTACTTGGGAACGCATATGTATTTGAGTCCAAAATAGATTAGGAGATGACAGCCATAGAAAGCAACATTACACAGACAAAAGAGCCCTTGCTTTGTCTTCTCTCTCACTACTTACAAACTCTCTCTCTCTCTCTCTCTCTCTCTCTCTCTCTCTCTCTCTCTCTCTCTCTCTCTCTCTCTCTCACACACACACACACACACACACACACACACACACACACACACACACACACGGACACTTCAGTGTCCCATACAAATGTGGGGGGTAGAGATGACCTTTTCACACATGGCCAGGAGGGGTCAGTGTTGTTCATCCATACAGCCCAATACATCACCAAGGCATACAAATCTAACAGAGGTTTTAGTGCCCATCCTGTCAGGTTCACATTGCCAGGGGGACACACAGAAACAAACACACACACACAGGCTGCAAGTGCAGCTCCGGGGGAAGGTGGGGCATAGGTGGTGCCAAGGGGCAGGGCCCAAGCGGGACGCAGGGCAGCAAGCGTGTCTGACTTTAAATACCCTGATCAGAACCTGATCTGCCACGTCAGTGAAATCCAGCGCGGGCCTCAGACAGCTGGCAACAGGTGACACCTGTTGTGTGAAGAAACACTGCCTGTGGCCTGAAGTGATGGTTTAGGGACTGCTCTGGCCACCCCTCTATTCGACCTGCTATCTTGCGAAACTCTCGCATGTACTCCAGGGCAGGCCTGCAGACTTGTTTTATTTTGTGGATTTGTTCTCTTGCTTTTAGGCCAAGGGATGGATCCTCAAATCTTTCTTTCAGACCTACGAGGAAGAGATGGGGGTCCTCCAATTCTGGGGCTTGCTCATTATATAAATTGTTCAGCCATTCGGATGCCTCTCCCTCTAGGCTGGATGCAATCACTGTCATAGGGGAGGGAAAAATGCCTGGAATGTATGTGCAACGGAAAAGAATCTCAGA